GTATTTCCAGTGAATAAGTAACTAACCATACAAAATTCTACAATGTGATCTTTGATGACAACTGCAACAACTATCACTAACACTGTGTTTTCTAACGATCTATCAAGTCTTTGTTTTTAACTTTCATATTCTAATCAGTAGTAATTATCAATGTGTCACTGTTGCATGTTTGGTCAGTTTCAGAACTTGGTTTCTATTATGTACTGTTGAGCCAGATCTGACTCATAGATGTCTCTCTAGTGGGTTTTCAGACACAGAATATCACGTGGGAGGAGACTGACCATTCTCCCGTGGAGCAGCTGGTGGATGTGACTGCACACCTTCAATTAACAGCACAGCTCCTCACCAGACCTCCCTTAAATTTCTTCATGTTGGACTTGATTGATTGCTGTGAAGAACAGTCATATTAACTGGTCTTACTTGTATGTACAGGGATATTATCACTGACAGCATTACATTTTGGTTCACATGTTAGAACGGAAATCGACGTCTGTGGTATTTCTAAGCATCGGCAGGATCACTCATGTGAAGCATCTTTCATTGGAGCTTTCAGATTACTGCAGACATGGTAGAAGGATTGAAGATCTATTTGTGCATAATTGGCCAGTGAAAACTTTAACAGCAGCAAGACATTTTCTGATAAGTGTGAAAAGATGAGCCTTTTAGTGTGGAAGGCACTTCAAAATGAGGGAGTGTGGTTACTGGGTAGTTGTCACTTAAGAATCCTTTCGCCAGCCCATCTATCTATGGTCAACTGATTTTTGACAAGGAGATGAAATCTGTTAAGTGAGGAAATGACAGCCTTTCTAACAAATGGTGTTGGCAAAATTGGAAAACCATCAGTAAAAGACTCAAGCAAGATCCACACCTCACTCCGTTATACAAAAACCAATTCAAAGTGGATTATAGACCTAGGACTAAAACCAAGGACTATAAACTTCATTAAAGAAAAGCTTGGAAAAACTCTAGAACTCCTAATCCACAACATTAACAGTCTTCCAAGCATCCTGGAAAATCTACAATCAGGAAAGGATTAAATAGATGAATGGGACCTTCTAAGAATTAAATCCCTATACACATCCAAAAACTTCTCCAACAGGGTAAAAAGGAAAGCCACAGATTGGGAAAAAAATATTTGGTAATGACATGTCTGACAAGGGACTTATATCTAGAATTTATAAAATACTTGAGCACCACAAAGATAAAAGTGAATAACCCAGTAGAAAAATGGGCAC